ACCTCCCTATTTGTTGCATATAAAATGACATTTTCCCAGTCACCATCAGTTCTGAGGAAGGGTCACTAGATCCGAAATGTTAAATCTGTTTTCTCCTTCACAGATGCTGCCAGACCTGCTGAGCTTTTCCAGCAATTTTGTTTTTGTAACAGTGCTACTGGCTTGTTCCTCCAAGTCACTAGACTCCTGGATAGATTCCATAATCTGTCTGGATTTTTTTCTTTTGTTTCAGTAATTTTCTTTTACATTCAGCACGTCAGTCAATGTTTTGTGGTCTCCAAAACCTGCTCAACTGCAACAGCAGTGTTCAAAACTTATAAAGCAACCCAACGATGAGGGGAAGTATTTAATAACAACTTGCATTTGTCTGAGATAACAAGGTGTAGAGCTGGATGAACACAGTAGGCCCGAAACGTCAGCCTTCCTGCTCCTCTGATGCTGCTTGGCCTGCTGTGTTCATCCAGCTCTACAGCTTGTTATCTCAGATTCTCCAGCATCTGCAGTTCCTACTATCTATTGCATTTGTCTATCAATTTTCATGACATAAAATATTCCAAGGTGTTCTACAAAGGGGCAGTCAACCACAAGTAGACAGTAAGGCAAAGGAGGAGATATTTGGAGCAGAGACTAAAACATGGTCAAAGATGTAGGTTTTAAGAAGGAGATTAAAGGAAGAGCATTCCAGAGTGTGGGGTCCAGATGGCTAAAGGCACGGCCACCAATAACCTGGCAAAGGAGCACACAAAAAAACAGATATGAGTGAATACAAGTATTGCAGAATGTTTGGGTGCGTGGGAAAACTACAGTGATGATCAGGAGCAATACCATGGTGGAATTTAAATGGTAGGATGAGAATTCTGATTTTGGGGAAGTAAGAAGCAATGTATATCAGTAAGGAAATGGATGATGAATGAGTGGAAACTTGTAAGGAGTAGTCTGCAGCTGAGAGTGTTTTGATTAAAATAATGTTTATCAAGGAGATCACTGGAATAGCAAAATAATTTGAGTCAGTAGGTGGCAAAGAAATGAATGATGATTTTAGCAGCAAATGAGTTGAAGTAGTGTGCAGACAGACAACGTTATGGATATGGAACTGAGGCTGTCATTGGAGCAAAGTGGATATTGTACACCAAAACTTCATTATCCATGGGAGGTAAAGGTCCTTTTTGTGGGTAACACGTGTGCCACTCCTGTGTGCCACTTGATCAGACCAGATGAGTTTGTGCAGGAAAAGTAAAAGGTGGAATCTGGGGCTGACCTAGATCATGGATCAAATCAGATAATGAGGTGTGAGTGTTCAATAAACTCAGCTGAAGATTGTAGTGGGAATACTGAAGCTATTACAGTTCGGCTCAACCTGAGAGATGCTGATGAGGTGGAGAGAATTGTTACAAACCAAATTTCAGTCTGTTTTCAATATTTATGTTCTCTTATTTAGAATTGTCTCATCATCACTGCCTGAGGATGGAATTGTAACCTAAGCTTGGCTTGCGCAAAATAACTCAAAAGTTTGCCTAGCCTTCAAAGCAAAAAGTATAAAACCCAGGATGTTTTAAAGAAAGACATAAAATTTGAATAGATGTAAGATTTTCAGAATACCTTTGCCAACTTGAAAAGCTATGCTGACAACTGCACTAGTTTCAGCAGTGCCAAATTATGAGAAGCCATTCAAACTGCCTGGTGATGCCGGTGACGATGGTATGGGTGCTGTTTTACTACAGGCCAACAAGATGGGGATCAAATGGGCTGTCAGTCAAATTTTGAGAAACTAACTGCATGTCAACAGGAATATTTGGTGGAGAATGAGACATCAAGTTTTATGTTAGCTGTGTCATGAATTGTTTATCAACAGTATGTCAGAAATATTATTTAATCATAGCACAATCCTGATTTTTTTTTTTGGGAGAAAATCTTGCCGTTGTTTCAGTTGATCTTAAACCTCTGGCTGTGAAATGTAAGGATTGCTAAGGTACCTTGAAAAGAAAATATTACAGTAGATGCAGTTATAAGAACACATGAAGGAAACGGAGCACAATGATGCAAATGGGCTTATGTAAAATATGATTGCTATGAACATTATTTTGTGTTTAATGTTCTGATATACTCTATTTTGTTAGTTTTTATTCTAAACTAGTGGCATATGGCTGTTGGTCTACTTTTGTGAAAGGCTTTAATAATTAACTAGGTCAGTTTTTCTAGAACTATGATTGTAAACTAGCATATGTTAAAAGAGCAGGTGTCTTCAAAAAGCCCTGGACTGTTAATGGAAGATAATTTATATTGTGGGGATTTACAACAAGCAAATGAAAACATCGAGAGATAATAGATCGCTTTCAGGTTTAGAATAATCAAGAATTAAGTCTACTTAGAAAAACCCAGCTTTTGGTTAATTCGAGGGAGGTCTGATTTGAAGTCAAATGTAAGTATAGTTTCCACTATAGGAGATTGATTCGGGTAGTTAAGGAAATACGTTGTCTTTGTAAAAGAGTTTAGTTGTCACTCCTCCAGACCAGGAGTGTTTACTTAGAAAGCTATATTGGTTATTCAAAGCTGACAAACTTTAAACTCTGGGTTATGTGAATTTTCAAGGAAAGAGGCTTACAATCCCTCAGAACTGGAACCAAGAAGAAGTAATTGAGTCAGACCTACAGATTTAATAGGGTAATTTATCTGGGTTTTTTTTTTGTGTGACTGTAAGGTGATGGTATTGGGGGTAGATACAAATGTGCTTTGCTGTGTATTTTGCAATCTTGTATTTAGTTTGGTTTGGGGAGGCCTCTTTAGGGGTGGTGCTGCAATGGTAATGTCACTGAGGAATATCCAAGAACTCCAGACTAATATCCTGGGGACAAAAACAGAAATTGCTGGAGAAACTCGGCAGGTCTGGCAGCATCTGTGGAGACAAAACAGAGTTAACGTTTCGAGCTCAGTTGACCCTTCTTCAGAACAGAACAGAATATTTTGGAGGTATAGGTTTGAATCTCCCTATGGCAGATGGTGAAATTGTTTTTTCATTGAAATCAAATCAGGAAACCATTGCTGATTGTTGTAAAAACCCATCCAGTCCACTTTAGGAAAAGAAATCTGCCATTTTTACAGCAATGTGGTTGACTCTTAACTGCCCTCAGAAGTGGTCCAGAAAGTCAGTTAATTCAAGACAACTGAAGATGGGCAATATATGCTGTCCTCACTAGCAAAGCTATCCTCCTTGTGCGAGAATAAATAAACGCCCTGTTTTGTCATTAAAAATCAAATCTTGTCTTGTGTGCTTATGTTTCAATGAAAGACTGGCAAGTCATTTCAAAAAAAAGAGATTGATCAGACCGGATTTCATTCTGGGATCTGCCTTTCCAAAGTATAACATCAGCTGAAATTATAACAGTGTACAATTCTAGGAATGCTGTAGTCTCACTGAAAAAAAAATACTTTACTGGATAGAGAGGTGTTCAATTAACAGTTAGAAATTTGACAGTTTAATTAGATTGTGAAAAAGGAAACAGTAATTGCTGAACAGATTTCCACACCATTGTGCCTATAAATTTATAAATGTTTTGAATTTTTAATCATAAGAAACATATCGTAGGTACATGGTGAAGTAGTTGATCATTGCAATTTAATCGTGTATTGCATGATCGCTGTTTAAATCTGAAGTATATTAATCTGATTTTTTGCACTCCTTGGGGCATATCAGTCTGATATACTGCATTCGTTGGGGTATGCTAACCTGATTCACTACAGTCTCTGGGGCATATTAATCTGATTTATTGCAGTACTTGAGGCATGTTAATCTGACATACAGTACTACTTGGGGTAAATGAACGTGATTGACAGAAGCATCTGAGATACATTAATCTGCAGTATCTGAGGTATATTAATCTGATTTACTGCAGTGTCTAGGTATATTAATCTGAGTTACTGCAGCGCCTGGGGTGTGCTGATCTGAATGACTGACTGCCGTCAGGGATGTACTGGTCTGATTATAATGGTTAAAACACAACCGGTGCTCCTTTTAGGGAGGATTACTTGCCCTTCTTATTCACTCAGGGCTTGTGTGTGACTTCAGTCTCACACTGAAATGATTGACCCTTTACTTCCCTCTGAAATCCTAGTGAGGCACTGGGCTGTATCAAACCCACCCTTCCAATTGGACCCTGAATAAAAAAAAAAAATTGCATGCTTTTGAAATCAGTGCAGCCAATAAGAAAACCAGACATTAATTCTGGAGGGTCAGTGGGATATTGTGTCTCCTGCAGTGGTGTGATAGAACTGGGTGGGAACTGTGTCTCCCTGGTGATGGGACTGGGTGGGGTTAGTTTGTCAGTAAGGAATGGGCCTGGGCGAGGACAGTGCATCTCTCGTGAAGATGACTAGGACTGGGCAGGGATGTTTTTTTTTAAGTTTTTGAATGTAATTGTGTAGGGATATGTCTTAGTGGGGAATGAGAATGGTTGAGCACAGTGTCTCTGTTGGGAATTGGACTGGGTGGGTCAATGCATCTGTTGAATAAAATCAATGTGTAATTGTAATGAATTTGGTTGACACTAAAAATCTGGGTGATGTAGAAGATAGATATGCTTTTTGTATGATGTAAGGTCGGTGGAATTTTAACTGACTGTTAAAGTCGCTAAAGAATGAAGTTAGTTGTAGGTGTATACCATGAAATCCCTTGAATGTGTTCTAGCCTTAAATAGACGTGGCTGATCTGCACTGGTAGGGGTAATATCTTTTTCAAAATATTTTTTGGGATTGAAAATTCAGGAATTATGGTCATTAAGGTTATTAGAACATCTGTTTAACATGGTCATTCAGTGCAGTGTAAGCAATAAAATGTTTTGAAATGTGCAACATAATTCATCACCAGGTGATGTTTGAGTTTCATTCTTTTCAATGTTGCTAACTTGTTTTTAATCTCTCTCTCCCTCTCTCTCTCTCTCTCCCCACCCCGTCTCACCCCCGCCACCCACTTTGTCTCTTTCTCTCCCCTCTCCTCTTCCTTTAAGCCTCAGTACACAAACCTGGGGCTCCTTAACAGCATGGAGCAGCAGATACAGAATGGATCTTCATCCACCAGTCCCTATAACAACGATCACACCCCCAACGTCACGGCACCCTCACCATATGCTCAGCCCAGCTCCACTTTTGAAACACTGTCTCCATCGCCGGCCATCCCCTCAAACACAGATTATCCAGGTCCACATGGCTTTGATGTTTCATTCCAACAGTCCAGCACAGCAAAGTCTGCAACATGGACGGTAAGTTAACTCAAATAATACTGATCTAAAATGCATATTGCTGTCAATGATTTTGAAACGTATTACCGCTCTTTTAGAAGTAACTGTCCTAGCAGTTCAGTTAGCAAGATGACACATGTCTCCAATTAACTAGTTTTTCATTTTAAACAAAAAACTGTACTCCATTAAAAATACAAGCAGAGCAAGTGAGCAAGGTGCAAGTAATGTGACATTGACCAGGTGGACAAAGTTGCATGGGGTGGAGGAAATAGTGGGTGTGGGCAAAAAAAGGTAGGGGGAGGCAGCATGAAGAAAAAGCAGGGGGAGGTGGTGTGAGCAGTGAGGAGAGAGGGGTGAAAAGGTAGGGTATGAAAAGTAAGAAGGGAGAGGGGCTGGGTTAAGACACCAGAGAATAGGAATAAATATCCTATAGGAAGACATTGACTATTGTGGAAGAATAGAAACCTACTGATTCAGATTTAACATTTCCAGAATGCAACAGTGTAGGTAGATAAAACCACACAAAAAAATCAAATTATTTTGTTCTTTTTGTGAATAGGAGCCTAGAATTCACCACAAAGAAGTAATACCTAATTTATCTAAAACTAAAGCATTTGCAGATGGTGGAAATCCGAAATAGAAGCAGAAAATGCAAGAAGTATTCAGCAAATCAGGCAGCATCTGTGGATAACAAGGTGTAGAGCTGGATGAACACAGCAGGCCAAGCAGCATCGTAGGAGCAGGAAGGCTGACGTTTCGGGCCTAGACCCTTCTTCAGAAAATCAGGGAGACAGACGAAATTAGCTTTTCCTGTCAGTGATGCCTCTGCTCAATTTGTGTCAAACTGCAGTTGAGACCTGTATACTGTTTTGGGTCCCATTATAGAAGACCAATAAAACTAGAGAGGCCAAATAAGGGTCGATTTAGCAAAACAGTGCCAGTAATGGAAAACTCTTAGGGGAAATTTAGGGGAGACTTATAGCATTAGCAATATTCCTGGAGCAGAGATGGTGAGTATTGTATCACACCACTGACCTGTATTGGGGAGATGAGAGGCAGGTTATTGCTGCAGGATTCCTAGCTGCTGACATGCCGTTGTAGCCGCAGTATTTATTTGCCTAGTTCAGTTAAGTTTCTATCAACAGTAACCTCCAAGATGCTGATGGTGCAGTATGTGAGCACATTTGGAATATTTAGGAATACTGCCGAACTGCCATTTTTGTCTTTACTTTGCTGCTTCACTTTATCCATTTGACATCATCCAAACTTGGCTTTTGATTTGATTTATTACTGTCACATCTACCATGGTACAGTGAAAAGTGTTGTCTTAACATGCTTCACAGGCAGGTTGTACTATAAAAGTGCATCAGAGTAACAATCAAGAGTGCAGGATACAATGTTACAGCTGCTGAGAAGGTGCAGACAGAAATCAGCATTAACATTACAGAGCTCCATTTGAAAATCTGATAGCTGTGGAGGAGAAGCTGTTCTTGAATCTGTTCGTTCATGTATAGAAACTTCTATATTATGTTGGTTGCTTTCCCACTGCAGCGGAAAGTATAGATGAAGACAGTGGATGGGAGGCTAGTTAGCATGTCGGACTGGGCTGCATGCATAAATCTGTAGTTTCTTTCAGTCTTGGGAAGCGCAGTTGCCATACTGTGCTGTGAAGCATCCAGATAGGATGCTTTCTATGGTGCATCCATAAAAAACTTGTAAGAGTCTTTATGGACATACTGAGTTTCCTTAGCCTCCTGAGGAGGCAGAGGCGTTGCTGGGCTTTCTTGACCGTAGTGTCAATGCAGGTGGACCCAGGCAGATTGTTGATGATCGTCACTCCCAGGAACTTGACATTTTTGACCATCTACACCTCAGCACCCTTGATGCAGACAGGGGCGTGGCCTCCACCCCACTTCCTGAAGTCAGTGACCAGCTCCTTCATTTTGCTGACATTGATGAAGAAATTGCCATCTTTACATCATCCCATTTAAGTACTCCATCTCTTTCCTGTATTCTGTCCCATCATCGTATGCGATCCTACCTACAATGGTGGTGTCATCAGCAAACTTGTAAATGGAGTTGGTGCAGAATTTGGACACGCAGTCTTGTGTGTATAAGGAGTATAGTATGGGACTGAGTAAGCACCCTTGCAGGGCACTGGTGCTGAGGATTATCGTGGAAGAGGTGTTGTCTTACTTACTGATTGCAGCCTGTTGGTCAGGAAGTTGAGAATCATTGTGTATCATCATATGTCAGCTTTGTAAATGAAACTAAAATAAGGTACAGTGAAGAAACTATCAGATCTATTCCTAGATCGTGTGATAATTCTGTGGAATGGGAAAGCATTCCTGCTCTGTACAACTGGAGATGTTGAGAACATACCAAAAGAAGTGTGAAAAATGGCCATGCTAGTTGCTGTTAGGATTAAAATCTGATACATGCAGCTTTTTAAAAGTGGGAATATTGGGAAGTTAGGCCATTGACATTGCAAACAGACTTGTATCTAAGTGTTACTGATTATAATAGCAGTTGGTGTAGGTTTGTCCAAGACTTTGCTTAGTCCTCCATTGGAAGGAAGTTATGCAAAATATATCCGTCAGTAGGAGACTGTTTCCAGAAGTTGAGAGGTTTAGAATGATGGGCCATAAATTCATGATTTTGTAACTTATGCCCACCGACACTCAGTTTGGGTTCCACCAGGGCCACTTAGCACCCAACTATATTATAGTCTTAGTCTTAGTTCAAACACAGACAAAAAACTACTGAACTCCAGAGGTGAGGTGTGAGTGACTGCCCTTGAAATCAAAGAATCTGAGCAAAACTGAAGTCAATGAGAGGGAAAACTCTCCACTATTTGAAGTTGTACCTAGTACAAAGGAAGGTGGTTAAGTTTGTTAGAGGTCAGGCATTTAATCTCCAGGGCATAACTACAAGAGTTTCTCAGGGCAGATACTTTATCATCCACCTGTTCAGAGATGCTAGGACACCCCTCTGGAGCAGATGGGACTTGAACCTGGGCATTATACCTTACAGATAGGGACACTGCCACTGCATTGCAAGAGCCCTCAGGATAGTGTCCGTGGCCCAAGCATGTTCAGCTGCTTCATCTATGATCTTCCCTCCATCATAAGATTAGAAGTGGGATGTTCACTGATGATTGCATAATATTCAGCACCATTCACAATGGTTCAGAGACAGAAGCCATGTCCAACTGCATCAAGACCTGGACGATATGTCCAGGTTTATGTTGATAAGTGGCAAGTGCCAGGAAATGACCATCTCTGAAAAGAGACAATCTAATCACCATCCTTTTACATTCAATGGCATTACTAGTGCTGAACACCTCTCACCCCACCCCACCCTCTCTACCAAGATCCCAGGGGTTACCATTGACTGGAAACAGAACTGGATCAACCGTATAAATATTGTGGCTACAAGAAAAGGTCTAAGGCTATAAATCCTATGACACAAAACTCACCACCTGACTCCTACCATTCAGAAGTGGATGAAATACTCTCCACTTCCCTGGATGAGTGCAGCTCCAACAGCACTCGATGATTTACACCAGGTGAGATAAAGTAGCTTGCTTAATTGGTGCTATACCCAACAACATTCACCACATCATTTCTGGTATACTGTAACAGTGTGTACTGCTAACAAGATGCAGCGCAAATTTACCAAGGCTCCTTAGACAGCACCTTTCAACCCCACACCCACCGTCATTTAGAAGGACAATGACTGCAGATACATGGTAATTCCACTTTCAGCAAGCTCCCCTCCAAGCCAGTGACTGTCCTGACTTGGAAATATATTATTATTGGTGAATGTTACTGCTTTAAAATCATGTCACTCTCTCCCTAACAGCACTATGGATGTGTGTAACCGAAAAGACCTGCAACGGTTCAAGAACGCAGTTCACCACATCCTTTTTGAGATTTGTTTGGGGAGGTGGTGGTATTGTGGTAATGGATACTTGACTAGAAATCCAAAGGCACAGGCTAGTGTTCTGGGAACATGGGTTCAAAGCCTCCTGACACAGATGTTGAAGTTTGAATTTGTTTACTTAATTCAAATTAAAATCTTGCCTAATAGTGACCATGTAACCATTGTGGTTTGTCATTGAAAGCCATCTAGTTGACAAATGTCCTTTGGGAAAGAAATCTCCCAATCTTACCTGGTCAGGCCTACATGTGACTTTAGATCCACAGTAATGTGATTGTCACTTAACTGCTCTCTGAAATATCCTAGGAAGCCACTTTGGTCAAGGGAAAAAAGGGATGGGCAAAAAATGCTAGACTTGTCAGTGACACACTTATCCCAAAAACTAGAGATGGGCCACAAATGTGCTCCATGCCTCACTAATGAATGTTAAAAATGTAAGAGATTTGCAACAGAAGGCTTAGAGAAACTTCGCACACAATTTTGCTGGCTGGCATTAGTAGAGGCAGGAACTGCCACCTTTCAAGATTAAACTGGATAGGCAAATTGAAAAATGAATGAAGAGATATGGAAACAGGACAAAATGTTTAGATTTATGTAGTTGCTAAATGCCAAAACAGGCTTGCTAAGTTAAAGGATCTAAAAGTGATTTTGAAAGGGTAAACAGTTCTCGAATTGTGTGGTGAATTTGAAACAAGGGTGCATAGACTGTGATTCTTACAAGTTAGAAGCAATATTTTCATTTGCGTATTATTAAACTTTGAAATGCCTAACTACATCAGACTATTAGACAGATACATTATCATCATTGAAAGGGAATTGGGCAAGGATTTGAAATGGATGGCTGAAAGGATATGCAAAAGACAGAGGAATAGAATTAGAGTAGATTGCTTCAATTGAGAAGCAAGCACCAGTAAATGAACTGTGGGTTGAATGATCTCTATTTGTGCTGCGTCTGTGAATTACAGGGATTGAGTTATTCTGATGGTACAACTTATGTATTTTGATTGTTACTTAATTGAAAGACTTCCTTTCCTGTGGTTTTTGTGTGTCAGCAGGGGATACCTGATATTGCCTCAATT